TAAACGGGTTCGTTATAACCAGTAAAAAATACGTTGGTCTTTATGGACGACGTTTCAATTAAAGGAAAAAAGTTCGTTTTAACCGAAAGTTCACTGTAACCGGGTTCATTATAAGCGGACTTTACTGTACATAAAAAATACGCGAAAAAGGGTGATTTTTTAAATTTGAAAAACTAAAATTATAAAATGCATCTTAATAACTTGTAAAAATTAAACTTTGGCTAAAATTGAAGATGCTTTTCTGTCACTGTTCATTTTTCCCAGACTTCACGGTGATAATTTAAAAAACCTAGTCGTCTAGCGATCAAGTATTTCATTTACACATGAACAGCATAGATAAAGTCAATTTGAAGGTATGTGCAGTATTTGCGTTAGATAGCATCCAAAGGTTATGGGCCTCTCAATCTATATGTAATCTGCATGAGACAAATCAAGATAAATCGAAAATGATGTATGCACTTTTAGTTCATCTTCAGTAGACGTTCAAGTGATTTTTTACTATATTTATCTGAAGATTGGTTTACTTGAACTTTGCGCTTTACTTAATTGATTTAAAGCTTAATTAGAGAAAAAGAAAAACCCAAAAAATGAAAAATGCAGTAAGCTATTCACAAAAGCATCGCTAGAAAATGACACCAGGAACGGACGAAAAAAATTGGAAAAATTGCGAAATAATATATGCTAATTATAATAATGATTATATACCTGCAAAGGTCAAGTGCAGTGTCCAAAGTCAAATGCATGTAACTTTGCTTTAATCTATTTGCTTCGTTTAACGTCAGTTAATCAATGATTGGACTACATTTCTATTCCTCTCAACTGATTATATTTATTTTTATTCCTCATATTAATTTTTTTAAACAGAAACTGTTCTTTAATTTGTTCATTAAATATTGATTTACCTGGAGTGTATAGAGGATTAATAGTTGTAACTACTAAACCCGCCTTAAGAATACCCAAAGTTGCAATCGGCATTTCAGGGACATTAGGCAGCAAAACTGCAACGATATCTCCGCTTTGTAATTTCAATTTTTTCCTTAAACTTTTATTTAACGCTAAGGAATAGTCCATTATTTGCTTATATGTGTACTTCCTTCCCGTCACTGCACATTCCTGTAAAATATAAACAATTAATTAATCATTTACGAAGCCTTTTACATCATTTTGCATTAACAATATGTGCAAACATTACTAATGCAGTTGCGTTTTAAAATAACCTAATGAATAAGTATGTAAATGCATGCAAAAGAAAATAAAATTATATCTTACCACAGCTATTAGGGCATCATCCCACTTGGAAAAGTGATTGAAAACCAAATCTGGAACACTTTCATTGGAAATTTGCACGTCTGGCAAATCGGAATTAATAATTCCGTAGCCACTAGAAACACTTCTGTAGGCGACCGGAAAGGTACATCTAAGTCTCCTAGATAGGAGCCGGAACATCAACATGTTTGCGAAATCGTAATGCAACTAACAACTTCGATTGATACAGCAAAATGCAATTGAAGCAAATGGAAGTTTAATTCTGATGATTAATTATCAGGCAGACGATTGCGCGATTGTTAATATTTTCACTATATGACTGCCTACTAATTGCATTATCAGCTAGGTAATTTACACAGGCAAGTCAATTGACTCACATACATTTAATTTGCATCTAAGTAAACACGAGTACTGACTAAATCAGACTAATCAAGCTCTGAATATTTATTCTGTAATTAATTAGTCTCTATAGGCTTGTAAATTATATATATTCAGACTAAAGCGCCGAAAGAGGGTTGACAATGAAATTTTGAATCACCAGGATTTTAAAATTTAAATAAATAATTGATTATATTTAAATTGGATTTGGAAAAACAATGAAAATCGGCAAGTCAACAACGAACTGCAGAAAAAAGCGAACACAATGTCACTTTTAATTAACAAATTAGTAAAACTTGTAAATATGTATATGAATCTATAAATAGAGCTCTGCTTGTTTACTGCTGTTGCTATTTTGAGCGTTTTCTTAACGGTTTTTAAACGGTCGAAAGCTTTAATCAAAATCGTTTCTCTCTTCGGGATTCAAACGCTTTTTATCTACAATTTAAGGAGCTTCTGAAGTGGCAAACAATTATTTAAGCTTAAAAAACTTTGATTATTGCACAAAAATTTCGTAAACTAAAAAAAAATTGAAATCGCACTAAATTCCCCAAATTAATACCCTTTCGATCGAAATTAAACGTGGAACAAAAACAAGATTATTAGGCTTTATTTTTGGCTCTAAATCTTTCTTTAATACGAAAAATCGAATAGTTTTTTTCCATCAGGAAGCTCAAAATCGATCAAGCCCAATCATTTTCATTTTCGAAAGATGCTAACAATGCTAAACTATTTTGAATTGAAATATCCGGTAATGATTGTGAATGAACCGCTAATAGTTTCCATATTCGAGAGTCAAACTCTTTGTATATGTAATTCTGAGGTTGAAAATTTGCTTGCTTCTTAGGTCAAGAACAATTCATTGAAACTAAAACACTCTTATGTGAGTTTTTCTTTATTTGTGCAGTCAATTTTAAAAAAAACCTGAAATCGCTCAAAATGTTTTAAATTTTAAACCATTTTCATAGCAAGTAACCGACGACACAGACGAGGTCCTGGTTAGACACACTTTTATAATATAAAATAATCGCTCATTTTGTGCAGTTTTGATCTTTAACCAACTCTATGACATGCCCCAACGTTCTGCATATAAGGGGACGTTTTAGGTCAAAACTATCCATTAAACTTAAAAAACAAACATTTTTTACTTTAATTTCATATGCGACTGAGATAGCCGTCCATTTTTTCTGGAAAGCATGAAAACGTTATTATTTTCATTGTAAGAAATCGGAGAATTCAACGAACTGAGGAATAGACACGCAAAATTATTCTGATTTGAAGTAACCGAAAACGATCGTCCATTCCAAGCCGTTCTGTTTTTTAACCGATAATATTTGCCCTGTTCTGTATGTAAATACATGCATGCTGGAGACGTTAATCGGTACTTTTAGATTTTGGTTCAGAAATTACTGACAGTAATTATTTTTGGATGTTGGAAATAGGAGAAATAACCAAAACATACTTGGCAAAAGCTAATATAAAACTTTATTGTGAGCATTTAACAACAAAAATGGGTACAGGTCTGCTTTGAATTTATAATAAAGTAATTAATCCTAATGCACTTTTCCATAAAATCCCAAAAATGTGTTTGGTAGCTTATTATATAATATTCAAGTTCCTTACAAAGTAAACTCATGTTTCACATAAAACACATATCATCAAAATATGACTGATCAACAATTAAAATAACTGTTTAAGCTTGCTCGCTGAGATATTTCTGTTTCAGTTTGATTCTCAATATCTTGCCAGCCGAGTTCTTCGGTATTTCCTCAATGAATTCAATTCCTCCTTCCAGTCGCTTGTATTTGGCCACTTTACTTGCCACAAAGTTATAGATTTCTTGTGCATTAACTTCGTTCTTCCGTGTAACATAAGCTTTGGGAAGTTCGCCACTTATCGCATCGGGAATTCCTATAACAGCAGCATCTTCTACGCCTGGATGATCTCTGAGCAATTCTTCTAATTCAGCAGGAGCCACCTAAAAATTAAAAAAAAAATAGTTTGGATATGTGCGGACTTGAATTTGTTACGAAAATTACCTACCTGATATCCTCTTACTTTGATAAGCTCCTTAACTCTATCAGTGATGAACAACATGCCATTGACATCGTAATAAGCCAAATCTCCTGTTTTAAACCAGCCTTCATGAAGCGCATTTTTGGTGGCCTCCGGATTATTGTGGTAGCCCTTCATCACCTGGGGACCCTATAAAATAAAAACTAGGTGAATTTTGAGCAATTGGATAACCATTTAATACCTACTTTCACTAGGACTTCTCCCTGTTCTCCTAGTCCCAAAGGAGTGGCGGTTTTATCATCCAGCTTGACTAACTTGACTTCGGTATTTGGAAGCACGTGTCCAACGGAGCCGCTGGAAGCTTTGCCCAGTTTTTCTCGGACTGATTTCAATACCGTGCTTACTACTGGAGATGTTTCTGTGAGTCCGTAACCTGAAATTAATTATTCTTAAAATATAGTTCGAGGAAAAATCTGGTTGGTGGTTCTGCTGCAGCTACCTTGAGATATGAAGACGTCCCTGTTTGCTTTCTCCAAAAATTTGCTTTCATCCAGGGCCCCCAAAGGGGCGGCTCCACTCATAACATTCCTTAAGTGATGGAGATATTCCGGTTTCACATCCGGATAATGTGTTAGAAATAATACTAAAATTCAACAGGTTTATGATTTGGCAGAATAAAAGAGAACTTTCCTAAAGGTGGAACGGATTATTCGCACTTTCATTGCCTTACAAAGATGTTTTAAAACGTTTCACGTTTCAGTTGATAGTAACTTCAACCGTTTTCAATAATCCGAAATAGGGATGGTCGGTATTTAACGTAACCGCTAAAATAACAGTGTTCCAAACGTGTAACCTGAAACCGTAGTTACAGCTAGCCGATTTAACTGTTGTTTTTTGGAACCGTCTCATAAAACCGAAACAGCGGTGCGCACTTCGGACACCGTCGAGCAATCTATCCAGCTGCAGCCATTTGCCGATTTAAACCCATAGATAAAGACAATTTGTTTAGTTGCTGCGATGATATAATTCAGCATTTTTAGTCTAAGTATTTCGTTTTCTGATGTTCTATATTAAATCTTTAAAAAATAGATTTCTTTCCAGAAACTTGCATATGAGCTATGAGCAAACTAAGAGTCTAAGACATAAATTCGATCACGGTTGAAATGTAAAATAACAAACGTTTTAAGCAGAATGTGCAGCTGCATTTAAGCAAGCTGCCATTTTTAAATATAAGTTCAATCAGAGATGAAATGGAAGATATTTGAATAGTAATAAACGTCGTAAGGTCGACATATTATTTGTATTATTTTTTGCTGGTATTTGTGAAACGAAGTGGGAGAGATTATTTTCTAAAGCGGTTGCTATCATAAACGAGCGAAGAACTAGACTCAGTAAAAATCATCTGCAAAAACATTTATTCTTAAATGTTGTTTAATTTTTAAATGAAAATGAGATTTTTAAACATTTTCGCATATAAACCGTATATTTTATTTTATCACTAATTTATTATCAGTTTTTTTGATCTGTAGTTACTTCTGACCCATGTTTTGTTTTTTATTTTAGAATATTTAATTTTAAGTTTACCAATGTTAAGAATTATGATTTTAATAAAGGAAATCATTATATATAATCACTATTTCTATTATCATCATCATCATTCTGCATTTTTAATGAAAATTTTTTTTTTAATTTAATGAAAAAAAAAAGTAACATGTTCTTTTTAGAACCTATTACCAAGGTGAAACTGGTAATTCTGTAACGGTGCAACCCGTTACAGAAAAATTTCTGTTTATTATACCTCTAATCTGAAAGTGTCCGAATAAAGCATTCAACCGCATAATCGTCCACCAGTACTTTTGAAGAAACTTACCTAAAGGTGGCGCAGCAAAAATTATAGAACAGTGGTAGTTTTGAAGAACATCAATAAAAGAGTCCGGTGTGAACTTGGGCAATGGAAGTACTTTGGCTCCTTTTGTCATTAAATTCATGGTAGTTATTGTAAAGCCGTAGATGTGGAACATTGGCAAAATGCCTGGACTTATTTCCTGAAAGTCCCCTGAAAATTTATCAGTAGTTTCTAATAGTAAACACCCAGTATGGTTTGCTAACTTACCATGAGCGAGTTCTAAAGCATCAGTTTCAGCAGTACTAATTTGACAAAGATTGCTAACAATGTTTCGATGGGTCAATTCGACTCCTTTGGGCAACCCAGTGGTTCCACTAGAATATGGCAAGATCGCAATATCGTCTGCATTTGGTGGATCCAAGTCTGGAATATCCAACGTTAAATTGATAATTTCGGAAAAATCGATGGTTCCTTGAGGTAGCAATTGATCCGGCTAGAACAAAACAGATTATACGGCATTTCAGTTAAACAATGATTATTAAGTAGGTGGATACTAATGATTCGGCCGTTAAGGTTTATTTCTGGAAACCGTCGGGTCTATTTTTGCTACTGTAAGAGTTAGAAAAGTATTGTGAAACTTTTTAACACGAGGAATCGTCAATGGAAACCAAAGTGTGTTTCAAAACTGGATAATTTCAGTCAACATTAACAACGTTTTTTCTAATTTTATAAACCCAAAATGTTGAAAATTTAAACGTGAAAAGCAAATTAGTAATCAGGTCCTCAATGTTATTTTATTATCAAAAGACAGATTTTAGGGGTGTCTAAGAAGGCAAATTCCTACCAATTTCCTAATCTCGAATGACCTTTGAGTTCAACTTCACGGGCTGCATCCAATGACGAGGATTTTTTACGGTGTGTGAGTCCTAAGTTCAGCAAAGCCTTTTAGCGCATTAACGAGCAAATACCTTTTGGGCTATTACCTGTTTTCAAACTAGAGTTTTCTACCAAATTTCAGCCTAATTCCTTGAAAATTACCATCTCGAGTTGAAATGAAATAAATCTCACCGCATCCAACCGAAATATTGGGAGCCATAATAAAGGATTGGCGTTAGAACAACGCATTTTAATTAAATAATTTGATGAAAAAGTCAACACTTGACAATATACGCCCTAAAATAAAACTCAACAATTATCGTTGAACTTGAACTTCGCTTTATATCTCTTTTTTAAATTATCAAAGTGCATTAAACTCTATAACAACAATTACGAATTATCAACACATTTTTTTGATATTCCTTAATTGCGAATAATATAAATCTTTGGCAAAATAAACAAACGTATATTTAAAATTAATTATTGAAGTAAATTAGATCCATATGAAGCCCAATCTCTCACAACATGAAAAATAAAAAGATTTCGCAGTGGGCAAACAATTTAAATTGGAACATGAAGATAAGAGTTATCATGAAGAAAACCCACTTTATGGTATGTATTTTATTATTTATGCAAATAGTTTTGGCCTGCATACTGGATTTACTTACCTTCGTTTTGATACAAATTATAGGAATTTTGCCGGGTAATTGAGAAACCGCTTTAGCGGTACTCTCGTACAAATCGCAGGATGTTATCACTAATTTTGCGGAGGAATCCTTGAGTTGACGTAGAATTTCCCCTGGAAATCAGTGAAAACTAGTTTTTAGCTAGGAATAATTACACGAGAAAAAAATTGTTGACAACATGCGTAAGGATAATAACTGTTTGTGTGCTATAATCCAAGGACAATTTCTTAAAAAGTCAAATTCAGTCAATATATAAAAACTGTGATTGCTATATAATATCTCCTATACTAAAGATCTGTAGCTAACGGAAATAAAATTAAAAAAAATTAAAATGTATCCGTCTGATTTGATTCTATTCATATCAATAAACGCGAATGGTTCTAGAGGAAACTGGCATTCGATCAAAAATGATTACGAAAATATACCAAACACAAAATTTACCAATTAAAGAATGTTATGCCAAAGTTTGAATCAAGTTTGATTTTCATATTGAGCTTTGAACTGTTTTAATTTAAGTGAAACTTTATAACACTCATGGCGGATTTAACGAATTTGGGAAAAGCAGAGTTGCTTAAAGTATAAGAAACGATTTTAAAAAATCACAAGAGTTACTTTGCCATTGTATTGCATCATTTGTCAAGTTGCGCATTCGGGTAGAACTTTTCAAACTTTTTACAACCATTTTGCTATTTATAATCAGCCCATTGCCTAAAAAAAGTTGCTTTATTCGACATTATTTATTGATGAGCTGAAAATGGTCACATTGAAACACACCACTCTTGGCCTGAGTAGGTTCACTGAAGTCACATGAACTAGTTTGTATTAGTTTAGTTCGGTTTTATTGAGCAAAGAACGTAATTTGATTTAATTAAATATATGGACATGCTTCGAACGTGTACTGAGTTTCTGTCTCTTCTGTGGTTTTTTTTGCCAGTTTAAACTAAACTGAACTCCAAAGAACCGAACAGTTCATGTGATACATGGACGAAAAAATGCTGTTGAAAGCGAATTAATATTATATCGAAATAATCATATTCCGCATTATATGCATTAAAAGTTTCATAATATTCATGCGATTTTTTCTGTAGCAGTTATCACTTCCATTATGTGCCTAAGTTTGCGCTAAGAATAAAGTCTGATATGCGTTTGATTTGATCTTTAAACCAGTAGCTTTATCAATGTACTGTGTACTGATGACTTAACAATTTACATATTTTTTGATACTGGAGCAGACAAATAACATTGTTCCTCAAAACACTGTATTTATTTTCCTATATGTATTCATACACCCAGAAGAGTAGAGTTGTAAATGCAAAAAAGAAGGCTTTACCAAGTTTGAGGTGGATTTTTTTCACTCATAACACTGTTTTCTTCCAATGAATGATTAATTTGACAAAAATAACGTACACAGAAGTGAAGAACTTATCTTTCTTCTCACAATTTGTAATTTAGCTAATTTTGCAAAACTTTTCATTTTTCAGGCAATCGAATTTTAGTTAGTAGTTCACTCGTTTGATCCGTTAATATAATCGAAAAATCCCGTTCTTTTCAATTTTAGCATAGAAAACTTTTTCATTGAAAATGATATTGATTTTTTATTACACTTTGCAAAGAAATGTTTCTCTTTGAAAGTTTCTGTCATTTTTTGTGGTGCGGAGCTGAGCATCATCGAGCTTTCTTTAAAGTTATGATGAATTTAGTATTAGATGTTGACCCAAACACAAAGCGTTAGAATTGGCGCTTTTAATGCAAATAAAAAAACTATATATTTTTCGTTGTTTTAATTTCCAAGTGCCGCAAGAAAGAAAAAATGTTTAAAAGAAAATATTTTTTGATAGAATTAACGAAATTAAATTGATATTTAAAAACTAGTCGCTCACCTGAAGTGTATAATGAGTTAGCAGTTGAAACAATTACACCAGCTTCCAAACATCCTAAAGCAGCGATTGGAAATTCTGGACAATTCGCCAAGTAGATTAAAGCTACATCTCCTTTGTTGAAACCCAATTTCTTCCTTAAAACTTTGCTCAGATTTCTGCTGAGCTTTCTCACTTGAGAAAACGTGTATTTTCGACGAGTTAATGGACATTCCTGTTAAGAAAATCGTTTAGGTGCCAATCTTGCCTTAGTTACTTTTTAAGGTGATGTTCAGTGTTCATACATGTTCTATATTTATTCCAATTATTAGGATTTTACGATTTAAATTACTTGAAAGGATCGCCAAGTACCGATGTATCAAAAATAGGGATAACCTTTGATCTCCTGTTTATTTGCTTAATAAGAAATGCGAATTCATATTCATTCACATATTGTGTACAGACTATTAAAGCGATAACAATAAGTGCTATAGTTTAACGACGTCGAGAGCTCAAACTTCTCGTTATCAGTAGATCTAAGATTTAATTTTCAAGCGTGCAAGATGCTTGTTATTATTTTTGCTTATTAATTGTTCAACGCCAATTAATTGCTGAAACGCCCGTGCTATTGCTCTGTTATCAATGTTTAATTTATTGCATTTATTGGAAAACATTACAAAAGATACGTATTTATATACATACGTAAAACTCGTGTCTGAAAATCCAACAGATTCTCCGAAATCCAGCAGATAGACTTTTATCAGAGGCCTGTTGAACAGGTCACAAAATGCGTTGTAAACCAATATTTTAATTTTTTTGACTGATAATCCGTGAATAAACTTATTTTAAGACATCAAATGTTTTACACTTTAATTCTAGTTCAATCACAACTTTGTGATTGGAATAATTTTCCGCATTTGGAGCACGAAACTTTTAAGGCTCTCTTTTGCGTATAGAAGACTAATTTTAGAAATTTCCTTGTCTCTAGAAAATGTTTCTTAAATCGCAGTGTTTTTGTGGAAAATGACTTTTTGAGAAAAAATCCTTAAAGAGCAGACGCGCAAGAAGTTTACTGTTCTAGAAGAATTTGTCAATTTTAATAATTTTTTGAATTAGGTATTAGGTAGTTGTCAAAATATTCTTAGCGACGACTTTAGTTTCGAAGAACAAAAATAGTGAAAATGCTACAGGGGGTGTATATGGCTTCGGAGTTTAATTGTCTAGAACCATTTTACTGATTGAGGTTCTAATAAATTTAAAAAATACTTACAAAAGCCGTATAATCCGCAAATGGTGCCGTTTTGCCAAAAACATACTCGGCCAAGCTCACATTAGGAATCTGAACCTCGATGGGACTAAACAAAATATTATCTCGAATATTTCGTCTAGAACAAGTCACACTAAGACATCTTCTTTGAGCAGTTCTGTAGTGCTTTAATTTGGTGCTGGGCACTAAGAATCTTTTCGTTATTTGAAAAGACATCGTCTCTCATTGGAGTCTAAGAACCATATACTGAACGATGCACGTCCAAGTCCAGAAAAGTACTACGGATATGCACGGGAAAAGATAAATTGAGTACTCCCGTAATTTCTTGTCCCCAATTAGTCCAACTTTAACGAAACAAATACAGTTTAATGTAGATAAGGCGCACGAGCTAACCGACAAATAAAGAAAATATTGAACTATCCTATACAAGATTTCGAAATTATATATACAGATATCAACATTCGAATCAAGTTGAACCAAAGTTGACGAACCACTACACAATAAATGGACTTCTAAAAGTGAAGGAACCCAACCGCTACGAGAAACTCAAGACATATTTTGCACCATGTTTATAAGGTAATTCATGCTACTTCCAAAGTCCAATCAACAGGTCCAGCTTAAAGCTCTATTCAACGCTTAAGTGGTTTTATCAGATTAATAAATAGTTATTTTTGTCTCACGGATATTTATTTAAATAAATATCTAATGTAAAATCCAAAGAGTTGGTAATATGGAGAAATAACTGCTTAGTAACAGATGCACCAGCAGAGCTTCGAATGTTTTATTGAAAATAATGTTTTTCGATTTTGAGTTCTCGTTGGGAAAATAATGTTATTTGAAATGGGTAAGAACGTTTTTTGGGAAAGCAATTTTATCAATTTTCTGAATATTTTTATTATATTCCTTTATTATTATTTAAAAACTTGTTTTCGTATAATAAATAAATTAAGAGAAAATGATTATGTTCTTTGCAGCAGAGTTTGCTTTAGGTCCAAATAAATTATTTTCCCGAGAAAGCACGTAACTGAAGATGGCGCAAAGTTATTCAAAAACATTGTTTCTAGAGGATAAATTGCTGATAAAAGGACAAACGGGAAAAATTGTTTTCCACCACGGCCTACAATGACTCAAAAAAGTCACAAGTTTCAGTATATATATAATAGTCGCCTAAAACGTTCCTTAACTAGAATTGTTTTCTCAATTAGAATAAGATATTTTGAATATTATTTCCAGCTACTTGAATAGTCCGACTCTGTGCCGTATTGTTGACCATTTCAGTTGAACAAATGTGGGACATTATCAGTAGATTAGTGCTACCTGCTTGAGGAATCACTTGCTTGATTTTTTAATCTAATTATTTAAAAATAGGATGTTTGCAAATAATAAAATTATTGTTTATTAGCCCTTAATCTCCCAAGAAAGTGATCCAAAAGTTGCAGCTTCAGTATTACGCAAAAAGAGTTTATGAAAGCTGTTGCAGAAAGTGCAGACTAAACAGGAAAATGCCACTTTAAATCTCCAAGAAGAATTTTCGGTTCAAAAATATTTGTTAATAGTTACGATAAAAGCTACATAGTTGGCACAAATTTTAAAATTAATGGCTGAATTCCAAAGGGCTACAATTGCGAGTGCAACTGTTAAATATTTTTCATTTTTCAACTTGCCCAATAAGTTTTATTTTTTCAACACGCACTCCAGATAATAAAGATAATAACCCGAATAAGCTACTAAATAGTTTACAGCGTCTATCTGGAAATATCTAAAAAATTAAGAGTAAACAAGATGCTGTTTTAGAAAAATGGGAAAGCAAATCGGA